AAAATCAATACCTCACCACTTGATGATACTGCTTCAGTGTTTGGTTTTGTAAGAAACCATTCTCTGACCCTGAGAGGGGAATCTGGAAAACTTTAAGCAACCCAGCTGTCCTTGGCCTCCTGGCCTCCCTTGGTGGGTGAACAGCCTAGAAATGGACTAGAAGATAAAAGAAAGTATAAAGAGCACATTCTAGCAGTAATCTTAATATGATACCTCGCAACCCCAAGGGGGCTACATTCAGTGGGCTGGGAATGCAAAAATGCCCAACCCTTGGTCCCAGACACTTCAACCACCAGTCATCACTCTACCTCTCAGCTTACAACATTCTATCTCCCCATTACATTTGCCATGTAATTATGTGCTACGCCATGACACCAGTGTATTACTCTGTAATTATGATCATGTTATTTCAGTGCCATGTAGTTTTATTGTAATTTTACTTTTCAGACTCTTTATTTTATGTTGGGTACTCATAAGAATGGAATATTCCCATGACAAAACAGATGTGCAGATTTATAGTCAGCTTGTGATAGTTTACGAGACGTTACAGAACTCTCTACCAGTGAAAAAAAGTTCTCAGTGAAGTCAGATAAAGATTGATTGGGCTTTTCAGATTAAAAAAATCAAGCAATACAACAAACAACTTTATCAAGTCTTAGTATATAAAGGAATCTTTATTACATAATATGCATTATTTGTTTTCTTAAGCATAACAACTTTGCTTGTCAATACAGAATAGGCTAAAAAATATTGAAACAGATTGTGCTTTCTAGAAGCTAGTATTTAGGGATTTAAACACACACTGGATGTGGAGGCTTTATCTGTTTTATTTCCTGCTATATTTCCTAATACCTAGAAAAGTTCCTGGCACATGATAGGCAAATATGCACTCAAATATTTCTTGAGTACCTACTGCATGTCAGATGGTGTTTTAGGCACTAGGGATACCACATTAAATAAAATGGGAATCTCTGTTTCATGGAGTTTATATTGTATAAGTGGGAGGCAAAAAAAGAAAGAAATGAGTAATTATAATATTTAGTATGTCAGATGGGAGAAGAACTATGTGTGAAATAAGTCAGGAATGAGAGATAAGGAGTACTGTGGTTTAGGTGCGAGAGTCGCTATTTTAAAACAAGAAGTCAAGGAAGGACTCAAGGATAGATGACTTTTGAAGACAAACCTAATGTTGTTGAGAGAGTGATCCCTGATTATACCTGGAGGAAGAGAGTTCTAGGCAGAGGGAACAGTCGGTGCACCAGCTTTGTGTGTTTGGGTACTAGCAAAGAGGCCAGTAAAAACAGAGTGGAGTACACTAGAGAGAAATTGGAAGAGAATAGATTTAGAAAGATGGCAGGGGTTAGAACAGGTAGGGACTTAGTGACCATTTTAACAATCTGGTTTTTACTCTGAGGGAGATATAGAAACAATGGGGATTTTAAACAGATAAATGACTTGTTTGGAATTGTATTTTTAAAGGATCATTTCAGCTAGTATGGGAGAAAGGACTATATGGGACAAAGGGCAGAAGCAAGGAGACCAGTTGGGCTGTTTGTAATAACACAGAAGAGATGATGGTAGCTGGACACAAATGGTAGCAGTGCATATTGTGAGAAGGAGTCAGATTCTAGATGTGTTCTGAAGGTAGAATATACTGTATTTGCTGATGGATTGGACATGGAGTGTAAGAGAAAGAAAGAAATAAAAAAATTATCCAAGGAATGTTAGTTTGAGCCTCAGTAAAGGTGTTTCCATTAAACAAGATGGGGAAAACTGAAGAAGGAGGAGATCTGGGGGAAATAACAAAAGTTGGGTTTTGGACAAAGTAAGTTTCAGATTCCTGTTAGTCATCCAAATGAGTTTGTTAGGCAGGTTGCTGGAATTCAAACCAGAGGTATAAACCTGGGCATCATTAGCAAACCACTGGAATTTAAAAACTCAAGACTGGATTAGATCACAGGTGCTTAGTAAATATTTGATAGGTAATAAATATACACTATGCCTTCTGTTAGAAAACATTTAATATAAAATTAGTTTATATGCAATCGAAAGTAGGGAAGTAATGCAAATATAATGTGGAAGTTGTGTTGGAGTATAACCTTCAACATGGGAGGAAAAAGGACTCAATTTATCTGCTGCATAGTCAGGAGCCTTTTTTAGCTTCATTTTCAGAAAATTTAAAGCAAAGGTCTGCACCCAGGGCTTCCTTCCCAAGGAGGTACACCTCCAGCGATGCATGGTTCTTGATTCAGGCAGATTGCACTTCCTCCTGTTCCCACCTTAGTGGCAGACTTATGTCCTAGAGCTCCACTTCCATCCACATTGTCTGAGCTCTATTAAGCTAGAGTTTTCTTTCTATTGGTTTCTTGTGTTTTAATATACCCTGAGACAAGCCTGTAGTCATACCAAGCCATGTGTTTGAACTAGCCACATTATTGCCTGAAATATTCTGTTAAGTCTCTGCTAATGAAGTTGCATAACTTTTGAGTAATATGCCCTCAAATCTATTTTTTATATAAGCCCTGTTAATTTTGGTGTGTTATTTTGCCAAATGAGATATTTTTTAGGGAAACGGTTCCATAAATGTAATTGACATGTTACTTTTGTCCTTTTTGTCTTCTCCTTTAGGAACTATACTTGCTTCATCAGGCAAGACTATCAATCTTTCAACCACATCCCCCCAGAACAAACAAACAGGGATTGGCACATGACTCAGGATAGCCAATCAGAATATATTACTTATCTGGTTATGGTGATTGTTTCAGGAATGGACCTATGATCCAAGCAGAGCCAAATCCTAGAGCTTTGCTGGAGCTATCAGAAAGGAGAACTCTCTTAATTCTAGAGCTGTCTTAGACACTCTGCCTAAAGACTGATGCCATCACAAGAGAGAAGAGACACACATTAAGTATACGAAGTAAATTATTCATGTTCTGTGTATTTCTCCCATTATATTTTCCTGGAAACTGTCTGTTTCTAATATTCAATTCAATAGTTATTTTGTGGTGAAATGTTTCACGACCATCCCCACCTCCTCCATGGAGTGCTGTGCACTCCCTTCTCATTCCCATAGCACCTTGTATATTTCCCTACAACAGCATTGTTGTAAGACTTTGTTTACTGTCTGTTCTTCTCCTTCCCCCATCTCTTGGTATGTTCTTAATGGTAGTGACTTTTCTGTATTCATCTTTATAAACTCAGGATCTAACACAATGCCTAGTAAATAGTAGGCACACTGTTAATGTAAGTTGAATGAATGGAAATATGATTCTAGTAATATTTATGGCTTATGGTCAATAACCTTGTATGAAAAGACACATTTTCTTGTATACACACAAATGGACACACACACATTCTGGAGAATGTAGGGTTTTTGATATGTAAGAATTTTGATCCAAGTACCCAGCAGATTAAAACAAAAAGCAGCAAAAGCAGTTCATTGAGATTAAACTTGAAAATAAGATAGCAACAGAAAATGCAGAGTAGGGGAGATTTTAGAAAAATAAAAGAAATAAGTTGGAAAAGAAACATGATGTTATAGACTTAGAGAGTAGAGGTAGAGAAACTGAGGAATGATGTTATTTAGGGAAGTAGGTATAGATAAGGATCAAAACTAAATGGAAACAGATGGAAAACATAGAGGTGGAAATGGAAGACAGGGGTAGAAAGGTCCTAGATTTAGGTCTTATAGTTTTCACAAATGACTAATTTTCCACTGGGTATTAGGTTCTGTGCTGGCTTACTGGGACATTGAGATGAATGTCATAGTCCCTGTCCATCCTGGGGGAGATCTAGGTTTATAATGGTCATAAAAAAACAATGAGATGATGAGGAGTGTGTGTTGGTGGGGGTAGGAGAAGATCACCCAGGTCTCTGAATAGGCAGTAACCTTTCATTTCTTAGCTGAGTTGTAGGAAGTATGGCAGCTTAAGTATGCTGTCTTCAAGATGGGAAAATGTTCCACTCCCTCCTGATTCTTGTTTCTTTCTCTCTGAACTCCATAATCCTTCATTTTTGCCAAGACTAATGGGATTCTTATTCTATATGCTCTTCCTGCCATTTTTGATATGATGGAAGCAGAACCATCATATCATCACCCCTATCTATCTCTTCAGCAGACCAAGATAACCTCTACCAGAAAAATATTTCAGTCCCCAGTGCAGAACTCCCAATCCTTATTTGCTGGAGATAGTATGTCTTCTAGATGTCCTCGAACTCTATAGCACCTTGGCTGTCCCAATAAAGTTTGGGTGGGGCCTTGACTGTTCTTCCCATCTCCAGTCAAAATAGGAGGTTGTCCCCACCACACTTTTCCAGGACTCCGGAGGATCTGAGAAGGGAGAGGTTCATAGTCCTCTGCAAGGAAGGGGACTCTGAGCAGCTGAGAGTAATTTGTGCATTGGCTGTGGTGGGGAGTAGGGGAACACCAGGCATAAACACCAATTATAGGAGGGTCTCAGCATTGCCTCCAGTTGGCAGGTGGGAAGTGTGTCTTGTGGGTAGCCCAGGAGGCAAGGAGTCCCTGTAAGGTAAGCGCCCTAGGAAAACCAAAGGGAAACAAATACATCTGCCATCTTGAGGAGCCACCTGCGCCTGTCTCTGGGCTGGGTTCTGACACCAAGGAAAGAGGGAGATGGAGGGTGGTGGTTCAGGGACTGACCATCCTGGAGTGGCTGGTACAGCCTGAGGGAGGGTCTTGGTGATGCTGTGTCCAGATGGCACATGGAAGGTGTGTTGAGCTCAGATGGGCAGCCCAGGGGCAGTGGGTCCTAGGGTGAGGGGGGCAAGAGAAGGGATGTCTATGATGGAGGCAATGGTCCTGCAGTGGCCAGCGGTTGTCTGGAGAGGCAGGCTGTTCTTGGCTTGGCTTTGACTAGGTGGGCTCTGGCGCCGCCGCCTGGGAACATCAGGCAGAAAACCCCCTAGATAAGGGCGGCTGGAGACTGCCTCCCAGCGCGAAGCCCAGGTACCTGCTCAGGGCGGGGTGGTGCGGGGACAGGAAAGGGGCACACAGCGAGAGAGGCGGGCACGGAGCGCGTGAGTCAACGTGCTCCCTTGGGTTAGGAGCGGGACTTCGCCTCCCGCCCGGGGTCCACATTTCATCTCCAGGTTCAGCAACTCACCCACGAATACTGGCCCCCTCCGGAGGCTAGATCTGCTGCCTTTCCGTCTAGGTAAGTTTCTCGTCTTTTGATTCCTCATGCTTGGGTGAATGGGGAGAGGCGGTCTGCCAGTCTGTGTCTCTTTCAGCCTTTGCTTCCTTCCTTTTCTCTCCATTGGAGACCGAAAGTTAGATTTTTAAAACGCAACAGAGAATGTCAAATTCATGCTCAATCCCCAAACAAGCCAAACTCTGAGGCCATATTCTTAATTTCCCAGGTACCTTCAAATGTCCCGATGCAGCGTTAATGGGGCTAGGAATGTTTGATTTGTTTGGTGTGTTTCCCTCCTCCCCCACTTTCTTCCTGGGTTATTCTTAGAGGGTGGGGGTGGGGTGGGGAGAAAGCTAGAGGGCTGGGCTGGAACCCTTTGCCAGGGTGGTGTCTTCATTATCAGCAAGGTAGATGTTTCACTGAAGCCTGAGTTGGGATCTTGGAACATTCCTCCCCAGCCCAGGACGTAACCAGAGCTGCATATCAATCACATTACTATTGACTGAATCACAATGTTCCGGAGGCACAATTAATGTGAATGTCATGATGATGTTGATGGGGCTTTATTGGAAATTTTATTTTTAATGTATTGTATTCCGTGAAAATTTTAAGAGACTACTGCTAGTCTTATTTTCTCTATTTGCAGAGATGCTTCCAAACCTATTATTTCCCTTGCAAGAAAATCAATGAGTACCTACTCTATTTCTTATAAGGATTTAACAATGCAAAGCTACATGTTAGTTTTTCTTTCCCTCCACCAGTGTGTGTGTGGGGGGGCACTTTCACTATCTGCCTTAGAAAAATCAGTGAGGGAAGGGTGAGTTCCCTTTATCTATCATTAAGAAGCACAAGTGTTTCTGTTAAATGGATACTGTTAAATAGATACTAATTATTGCTGTTGTTTTTGCTTAAAATAGCAGAGGAGAGTTGCTCCTAGAATGCATGTGTTTGTGGCTGATGTTGATGACTGATTGCTTTACCATCAAAATTGTTTGGTTTGCTGCAATGTTAACAGGTGGTCTTAATTCACAGCACAGAATTCTTTTGCTCTAGACAAACAATACTGCTAATATGGGAGGAAAATCTCCTCCTCCCACCAAGCCAGGGCTTTATCTGGCTTGGTGGGAGAGAGGAAGATAGGTGGGGGAAGCTTTTCTGGCAGTTGATTGAGTTGCACGTATCATGAGTTTCTCTTTACTGAATTGTTATTTGGTTTATAGCTTTTGTTTATAGAAAAAACCTCCTTCCACCCTGGGAAGAAATTTAATAAAACCTTATATGTTTAGTAAGGTCACAGGAATAACTTTTTAGATTTGAGTGGAAGTTTTGATGATTCTCTTTTCCAAATCTTTTCCTAGGGAGCACCCTAAACTGAATAGGTTTCACACCTCTGTAATAAGATGATGCCTCTCCTCTGCATATCTTGGCACTTGCCATTTCATGACTCTTGTTTTACATATCAGTCTCACTCAAGATAGTAGGTTGTTGTTTTTCTTTTGTTTTTTTGTTTTTTGTTTTTTGTTTTTTTTTGGAAGGCAGAGGTAATGTCTAACTCATCTTGTATCCCTGGAGCCTAGTAAAGTGGTGGTCTGATGAATGAATGAATGAACTCAGTTCAGATTGGGTTGACCATTTCTTGACCACCACCTGGGCATGCTTTTTCTTCACTCACAGTGTGCATTCTCAGATTACACAGTGCTTTATTTTTTATATCTTAAAGGTTGCTTCTCTTTAAAAAGATTTTACTGATTTATTTTTTGAGAGGGGAAGGGATAGAGAAAGAGAGGGAGAGAAACATCAATTTGTTGTTGCTCCTTGTGCGCCCCTTACTGGGGACCTGGCCAACAACCCAGGCATGTGCTCTAGATTGGGAATTGAACCTGCAACCCTTTGGTTTGCAGGCCGGCACTCAATTCACTGAGCCACACCAGCCAGGGCTACACTGTGTTTTAAATAAATGAGTTTGACAAATATGGAAAATATCTCTATATTAATTGTGACATTTTTTGCTGCATGTAACAGAAAAGCCAACTAAAGGTGACTTTAAGAAATAGAGAAGCCTGTCAGCAGGTGAGCACTGGATTGGTTCAGTGGCCCAATATATCAGGGTTCTGGGTCAGTGACTTACCCTCATAGTTACAAGATGGTTCTGATAGTACCAGACATTACATTCTTATCCCATGTTCAAAGACAAGAGATGGGTCAAAAAAGGATAGAATATTTTTCCTCATACAATTTTTATCAGAGAATATCTTTTCTCCAGTTCCCCAAAAGAATCTCCCTGTATCTCATTGGCCAGAGCCAGACCATATAGCAATCCTTAGTGGCAAGGGAGGTTGGGAAAATGTCAGGCTTTTCAGCTTCCATAGTAGAAAGGAGGCCAGGGAGAAAGGGGTTGGGGATGGCTTTGGGGAGCTAACCAGCAAGTCTGCTAGACTGTCATGAGAATGGATCTGTTTTAACCAGTGACTGTATTAATGATTGGTCCAAGTAAAAAATTAAATATTAATCAATGTAGCAAAAGCATATTTAGAAAAGGGTTCCCCCCACAAGGTGTATGGTATTTTAAGACTGATAAATAATCATTTTTGTAGAGTGTGTTAACTTCATAGACTGCAGGTAGAAAAAAATATATGTATGTGTACAGTTCATGGTTTCCATTGTATTAAATATGGGTCAGATCCTCCAGTTCTTAGAACAGAATAAACATTCAGTGAGTAGTTATTCTGTGAGCAGACTACAGGCATACCTCAGAGATATTGCAGGTTCAGTTCCAGACCACCACAATAAGGCAAGTACCACAATAAAGAGAGCCACAATCATTTAGCTGATGGAGAGTGTTTCCTTTGTAAAATTGCAACATCTGTGAAGCACAATTAAACTGAGGCATGCCTGTATTGTATTTGGGAGCTTCACAACTTTATAGGAACTAGTGAAAAAGAGTTAGCAAGAAAAAACTAATTAGTGGTTTGGCAAGTATGCCCTGAAATGCTGTTTTACACAATGTTAGATACTTTAAATTTGGATCCTAGGAGTCTGGGGTGGGGGCAACTTAACAGGAGGGAGAGGTAGTGAGTGCTGACAATTTAGGTCAACAGATTTTCTTTGGGGGCTTTCTCTATACCTGCACTGTGGAAGATGTATTGCAAAAAAAAAAATGTTCAACACGATCCCTAGTACTCTAGGGCACACACATAAAAATCAGTTGATGTATGAAATGAAGACAGCATATATTACTGCCAGCTTTGATCCTTGACTTTCCTTCCGAATAGGAAGGAGTCTTGAACTATTTATTGCAGAATATTTGGGGACATAATGATGGGAGATCAGCTAAGCGAGTATCAAGAGATTGAAATTTAACAATTGCAGGACCCTGAGCCTTATATTTCTCACCAGTTGGAAGAATGAACTAGATCACAGGTGGCAAACACAAGGCCCGTGGGCCGAATCCGGCTCTCCACCTTGTTTTATCCAGCCTGGCACCTTCTACCCAGCAGCAGCGCTGAGCTCCTTGCCCCTAGTTAAGGAGTAGTTACATTTATACATTCCTAAAAATTTTTTGGCCTATTTTATTTTATTTTACAGTTAACTGTAGACAATATTTATAGAGCATACGTAGGAAGTGAGGAACCATAGTAAGCATTTTAAAAACATTGTCTCCTCTAAGTGTCCAGAAAATGCTTTAAAATAATTTGTATTACTATCCCCCTTTTTTATAATTTTTTAAAAATTTTATTTTAATCATTGTTCAAGTACAGTTTTCTCCCACTTACTCCCATTCCAGCCCACCCACCCAACCCTCCCCTTTTCCCCCCCCCCATTACCCCCCACCCCTAGTTTTTGTCCATGTGTCCTCCAAATTTGTTCCTGTAAACCCTACCCATTCCCCCCTGAAATTCCCTCTTCTCTCCCCTCTGGTCACTATACAGTCCTAAAATTACATTCAGCCCTTTGAAGGCAACAGAGAGGTTGATGTGACCCCTGGTGAAAAATGAGTTTGACACCCCTGAACTAGACTATCAGTGGTTCTCAAATTTTGCTGCACTTAACTAACTGGAACACTTTTAAAAAATGTACATTTAGGGGGGTAGGATCAAGGATGGGAGGTGGGGATGGCTGGGGGGGAGGAATGGGACAACTGTACTTCAACAACAACAAAAAAGAAAAAAGTCTACATTTGTGGGCTGATACCCAGACTACTTAAGTTGGAACGTCTGGGAATGGGACCCAGGTATCAGGACTTTTTAAATTCCCCAGATGATTCCAATATGCACCTGAGTTTGGGAACTGTTCTACGTTGCTTGGGCTGTCATAACAAAGTACCACAGGCTAGGTGATTCAATTAACAAAAATCTATTTTCTCATAGTTCTTGATGCTACAATTCCAAGACCAAGGTGTTGGCAGGATTGGCTTATTCTGAGGACTCTCTCCTTGGCTTGTACATGGTTGCCTTCTTGCTGTTTTCACATGATCTTTCCTCTGTGCATGTCAGTGTCCTAATCTTTCCTCTGTGCATGTCAGTGTCCTAGCATATGACAATGCACATTTATTGCTTATGTGTCTAGGGTCAACTCTGGGGTGGATAGTGTGCTTTGCTGACCTTGGCTGGGATTGCTCCAGACACCAGCCATATTGGATTAGGGCTCAGTCACATGACCTAATTTTGCCATAACATAACCATTTTAAAGGCCCTGTCTCCAAATATAGTCAAGTTCTGAAATACAATACTAAGGGTTAGAGTTTCATCATGTGAATTTGGGAACGGGACACAATTCAGCCAATAACAGGAACTACTGGACAAATACAGCACTTCTCAAACTTTAATGTGCATACAAGTCACCTGAAGACCTTTTTATAATTCAGATTCCTATTCAGTCAGTATGAGGCCAAGATTCTGCAATTCTAACAAATTCCCGGAAACTGCAGTTCTAGCAAACGCCAGTGCTGCTTATCCATAGATAATATTTTAAGTTACATGGCTCTGTCTAGATCAGTGGTTCTGAAGCTCTAGCAGGCATTT